CCTGCCCCGAAACGGGCCAGGCTGGCAGTTTTTCTGGGTATTGTTGTTTTCTGGAGAGATGCCCAGCGGCAGAGCCCATCCCTCCCCAGGGCATCGCCCACGGGGGCACTGGGAGGAAAGAGAAGTTGGTGGCACCTTCCCCGCGTGGGGGTGGGCGCTTTTTTACCTTCGGGGAGGGATCCCCACAGGCACTGAGCTGGGGGGCTGCGGGATTTGCCCCCCACAACCTGGCTGGGGATGCCCTCCCCCCGTGGCCACATCCTGCCCCGAAACGGGCCAGGCTGGCAGTTTTTCTGGGTATTGTTGTTTTCTGGAGAGATGCCCAGCGGCAGAGCCCATCCCTCCCCAGGGCATCGCCCACGGGGGAGCTGGAAGGAAAGAGAAGTTGGTGGCACCTTCCCCGCGTGGGGGTGGGCGGTTTTTTTCCTTCAGGGAGGGACCCCCACGGGCACTGAGCTGGGGGGCTGCAGGATTTGCCCCCCACAACCTGGCTGGGGATGCTGCTGAGCCCTGAAAGACACTTGGGCATCACTGGGCACCGGTGGAGGGGCTCGGAGGGTGCTGGTGGGGGTGATTCACAGAATGATATGGGGTGGGAAAGGACCTCTGGAGATCATCCCATCCAACCCCCTGCCAGAGCAGGGCCACCCAGAGCAGGTCCCACAGGAACGTGTCCAGGTGGGTTTGAATGTCTCCAGAGAAGGAGACTCCACCACCTCCCTGGGCAGCCTCTGCCAGGGCTCTGCCACCTTCACAGTGAAGAAGTTCCTCCTCATGTTTAGGTGGAACTTCATATATTCACGTTTGTGCCCATTTCCTCTTGTCCTGTCCCTGGGCACCACTGAAAAAAGCCTGGCCCCATCCTCCTGACACCCACCCTTGAAGGATTTATAGGTGTTGATCAGATCCCCCCTCAGCCTTCTCTTCTCCAGACTAAAGAGCTCCAAGAGCTCCAGACTAAAGGCTCCCTCAGCCTCTCATCAGAGAGATGCTCCAGGCCCCTCAGCATCTTCGTAGCCTCTGCTGTCCCCTCTCCAGCAGTTCCCTGTCCTTCTGGAACTGGGGAGCCCAGAACTGGTCCCAGTGCTCCAGATGGGGCCTCCCCAGGGCAGAGCAGAGGGGCAGGATGACCTCCCTCCACCTGCTGGTCCCACTCTTCCTGATGCCCCCCAGGATGCCATTGCCCTTCTTGCCCACCACATTGCTGGCTCATGGCCATCCTGTTGTCCACCAGGACTCCCAGGTTTCTCCTCAGAGCTGCTCCCCAGCAGGTCACCCCCAACCCGTACTGGTGCAGGGGGATATTCCTCCCCGGGGGCAGGACCCTGCACTTTCTTGCTTTTAGTGAAAGTTCCTCAGGTCCCGTTCTCCCACCAGCTGCCAGCCCCCGGAGCCCGTGTGTCCCCGCGGTGCCCAGGCAGGGCCCAGCCGGGTCAGAGGCTGCTGCTGGCAGCGGGGAAGGGAGATTTGCACAATAAACCCCTCGGCTGCGGCGCCGGGAGCAGCTGAAGGAAGCAGATGGATCGGCCGGGAGAGGATAAAGCTCAGCCCCGAGGGAGGGACAGGCGACAGGGAGTCATTGCGGGGGCCCCCCCCCCCAGCTTCCAGCCCCCCTGCCCAGGGGCTCGGGGTGCTGGGGGGCCGGTGGCCGGTACCTGGGTGCTGTTGAGGTCGCAGCGGTGTGTGTCTGCGAACCAGCCGGGGCCGGTGGAGCACTGGTCGATGGCCACGTCCCGCAGCTCGATGTCCACCCGCACGACGCCCCTGCGCAGGGGGATGGGGTCACAAAGCGTCCCCGTGCCCACCGTGTGCCCCCCAACCCAGCGTGGTGGTGCCCCACCGTTTCCTCTGGGACAGGCACCCATGGGGGTGTCAGTGTATGGAGCAGTGGGACAACAGGAGGTGTCAGCGATGTCCCCAGACCCCCAGACAGGGATGTCCCCCCTCAGAGATGTCTCTGGGGGTGACCAGAGCAGGGGCAAGGGCAGGGGGGTCACCTGGAGGTGAATTCTGCCTCTCAAGGGGGGGGTGAACGCAAATGATGGGGAAATAGGAGTCTCTGGGGTGGCCCCTTTGTGTCATCCCTCACCCTGGGGGACCAACCCTCCTCCCTGAGTGCTCCAGGAGGGACGGGGTGTCCCCCTTGGGAATGGGGACATGTTCCTTCTCCGGGATTAGACCCAGCTGCCCCCTTCCCTCTCCGGTGCCTCCCACGGGGTGCTGGGGAACCCAGCAGCAGGGACCCACCAGCCTGGGGACACCCCCCAGCTCCCAGGAGGGAACCCAGCCCAGCTCACCCACCCTCAGCGTGGCCGTGGCAGGGGGGTCTGGGGGTGACAGCCCGAGATGGTGACACAGGGACAACCGAGGGGGGACTGGGGGCAGCCTGGTGCCTGTGGACGTGCAAATACCCACGCACACGTACATACACACACACATGGCGGGGAGGGACGCAGGCAGGGGACTGGCACACACATGCTGCTTCCACCTGCACCCCCCAGCATCCACATGGGGCACCCCCCAGCCCCTTTTACACCCCCCCACCCCGGTCCCTGTGGGTACCACTCACTTGAATTCGGGGCTGAGGTCCGGCTTGAGCCCGTAGAAGGCGGAGGAGAGCGTGACCGCCCAGGCTGGGAGGAACTTGCCATCCCGGCACTCGAGGAACGGTGGGGACCACCTCACGTGGGCTGGCTCCCCCACGTAGCTGTCCCCCCGCTGCCACTTGGGGGTCTCCATGCTGCGCAGGTCATTGCTGAGCAGGCGCTTGCGGAGGAGGGGGTTCCTCTGGGATTTGAGGGCGTTGAACCACTCGTTGTCCCAGCTGAGGTTGCCCAGGCCGGGGGCGGCGGTGGCGGAGACGTCCTGGAGCAGGATCTCACCATCCTTTTTGGTGGCCTGGAGCA